ATTTATAGCGCATATGTATGTGACTTCCGCTAGGGAATATGGTCTGATGGAAAGAAGAACAGAACATATAGGACTCGCTGGCAATCAACAAGCAGCTCGTGTGCGATCGAGTATAACGCCGGGAGGCTGTCTGCGGATATAAAGATGGATTCACGCGCCTATTGCAACATAAATTCAGGCAAAAGTTCGAGTCCATCCCCATACGAGTATATATTTACCATAGCAAGAAATGCCCCATGTGTGATGCTGCGTGTCAGCCTCGCGTCGAGTGTGTACGCCTTACTTGATAGAGCGCTCGGAGGTACCCTCGTAAAGGAGATCGGCTATTGAAAGCCCATTTACAGCCCAACTAAGCTGCTCCCACTAGAGGTTCACACACATTAATGCACGAGATCGGACCTACCTAGTCTAAACAACGTCACATTGATCTATGAATCTCTGCACCTACTATATACCACACCTGATTGGTTTATATATATATATATCGTACATCAGTGCTCAGATTAAAAACCCATTCACTCTTGCTCTCTTCCACGCACACAATGACTCACGCAGTACTCTTAGCTGTGTTCACTCCACTCACCTTCACTCTGCCGGATTTGCTGAACCCGTTGTTGATCTTGGTCAAATCCAGCGCCCTCACACTACTCGCCTTGCGCTTCTTCTGGCCCAGTTTCCGCTTTCGCGTCACCTTCACAGGAGATGCACTGCTTGCGCTATCGCCCTCGCTCTCCCCATCGCTATTGCTACTACCACTACTATTGATGTCACTTTCGCCCGTGCCACTGTCACTGCCACCGCCGCTACCACTGTCACCCTGACTGCCACTCTGCGATTCCTCACTCTCACTATACGCTCCCTTGTTGCTCTTGGTCATCTTTTGTCGCACAGATCTGGCCCTCGCAGTCGCAGTCTTCCGAGTATTTGTTCTCGCGAGTTGCGCAGCTCTGCGCGCCTTGGAGGGTTGTTGTTCGGCTATAGCTTTAGCTTTCTCCGCCTTAGCTTTTTGTATCGCCACACTCTGCGAGTCCTGACTGCGGGTGGTGCGTCTGCCGGCGCTGTAGGTCATGCCTTTGAGACCCCGTTTAAAGTTCGATCTCACTGTCGCAAAACTACTCTCTTCTTCGTCCTCATCCTCATTGGTGCTCGTACCCTTGCTGTCGTCTTTGGCGCCCTTGGAAGCCCTTCTCGATGTCTTGGGCTCATCGTCAGACGAGAGTATCACAATAGGCTCACTCTTCTTCGCCTTCACTT